TATGATTTCATGATTGAAAATATTCTCAGCAGAAGACGCTGAATTTTAAATGACTCTACAACTAAAGCAATGTTTCCAGATAAAAATAAAATTGAAGAGCTGGGCAGTGGTAGTGCACTCCTTTAATCGCAGCGCTTGGGAGGTAGAGGCAGACAGATCTCTGTGAGCTAGAGGCTAGCCTGGTCTACAAAGCTACAGAGAGAAACCCTGTCTCAAAAAGTAAGATAGATAGATAGATAGATAGATAGATAGATAGATAGATAGATAGATAGAAAGAATTGAAGCTAATAAAATAATAGCAAATGTTCTTTAATATTGTATTTCTTTTTTGTGTGTATATATATGTTGAGCATGTGCACATGAGTGATAGTCCAAAAGAAGCCAGAAAACGGTATCAGATGCCCTGGAGTTGGAGATGCAAGCAGTTGTAAGCCATCCAACAGCTAATTCCTAACTGATTAGCTGTAGTTGATAAATGATAGATAGATAGATAGATAGATAGATAGATAGATAGATAGATAGATAGATGATAGACAGATGATAGATTGACAGATAGATGGATTAATGATAAATAATTATTTAGATAGATAGATAGATAGATAGATAGATAGATAGATAGATAGAATAAATAAGTTATGGGAAAGTATTTTCAGCTATCGCTACCTTCCTCATTAATGCCATTTCAAAAAGATACTGGCTTCAGTTTCTTCCTCATAATTAGTCAATTTACCATTCCAGGGGAAAGCAATGCCAACAAAATTCTACTGGGTCTGCTAGCTGTGCCGCTGACTTAAAACAACTGTGAGGCCTGAAGATGACATCTGATATCATTAGCTACCTTGGATGTCTGATGCTACCCAGTTTTACTGACTACAAATGAAAGCTGCAGGACGCACAGCAGCAGTCAGGATGTGTTAACAAAACAGAAGTCATAACAGGTCAAAAATATCTATAGCATGCCAGGAAATACTCATTGTGAGGATAATCAGTTTCTCAGTAAAGTGAGAAATTAAAAACATTTCCTGTCTTCGGCCATTAATAGGTTAGACCAAACATCACTTATGCACCAGCAGTTGTGATAGATGCAACAGAAGCAGGGGATGTGTGACACTAATGTATCAGAGTGTGAATCTTAATGTTTTCAAACTCAAAATGGCTCCAAGATTAATACTCTGATTGAACATGATTTGAAAACTGCACAGAAGATATTATAAATCCATAGTATAGGTACCATACTATCTATATTCTAGATAGTATAAACACTGGACTTGTAATGACTTGTTTTAAAAGTTGGGGAACATGGCTCAGCAATTGAGAGCACTTTCTGTTCCGCAAAGAACCCAGATCTGTTCCCAGCACTACATCAGGTGCCTCACAATGGCCTGTAACTCCAAATCCCTGTTCTGGCCTCCATGGGCACCTGCATGTAAGTACAATAGAGAAAGAGGGAAAGATGGAGACAGAGACAGAGAGAGAAACCTTTTCAATTTTTAAAAATTGTAAAGCATACTTACCTTGCAGTTCACTTTCCTCTGCCTCAGCATCAGAGTCACTGTCTTCGTTGTTCTTCAGAGAAGCCATTTTTCTTTCATGCATCTTTCTCTAGAACACAAAAGAATGCTTTTCAACTTTGCCCCATCTTCAAAAGCAGCAGCTTCCAAATAAGCGACCTATCCATCCTCTACCCACCGTGGACAGTAGCTCAATGCTCCACTGTCTAACCCCCTTAGGGACATTGATGATGCATTCCACGGCCTTGTTCAGTGTCTGCTGTATGTCTTCCAGGGCAGGAGTCATAGCAATGTTGGGAATGGCCAGAGTGATGCTTGCCCGAAAAATCGGAAGATGGTTCTGTCTCGTCTTAGATGCATTGTTACTGTCTGAGTTAATATAACATTTTTTTTATTTTAGAGGCACTCATATTTACTTATCCATCCCCCATTCCCTCACCCTCCCATCCTCCCATGTTCCCCACCGACCCCCCCAACCCACCCACTAATATAGCATTTTTAATTGAAAATGGAATATACTTAACAGACCCCCACAAAAAAATAAGGCATACATAATATATGCAATCAGGCAAATATTTGTCAGATTCATGAGTGCATGGATATTTGAAGATACGGTTTTGTTTAGTGTAACAGCAGTTCAGTGGGTCCCAAGTCATTCTACTTATTGCAGTTTGTGGGTACATCCACATAAAAGGAAGCATTCAATGTAGAATGGGGGTTACATTTAAATTTTAAAATTTTAGGGGCAAGTAGCAGGATTCCAAGGATGAGTTAAATGCAGAGTAAGCACACACAAAAATAAAGAATAGACTATAATAAATGAAAGTTAGAACAAGCAGTTTTTGGAATTTCAAATAAAATATCTTGTCCAATGAATATATTTGAAACTTTGGGACAGTTGTCACATGCAGGAAAAAAGTCAGATATAGCTATAAACTAAGTATTTCGACGGAGATGCCTGTGGATGAGCATGTGATTGTGAACCACACAAAATTGTGCAATGCACAAAGCTTTGCAATAATTGCAGTTTACTATTGTAACGTATGTGCCAACATTCGGTGACTCCTTTTGACAGCCTGTGTCTCGGGAAAGAACTGTCTTCCATTCTGAAGTGAATGAAGGTCATGCCCCAAAACATTCTTTCACAGACCTTTGTCTTCATCCACTCTCAATGCAATATTATGCTTCCCTTTCATTACAGATCTCCAAAATAAGATTTTATTACCCTATTCTTTTTGCCTCGCCTCGATTAATCACTATTTGCTTTTCTGCTATTGTTAAATTAGATCTTAATTTCAGAATATCCCTAACGTTCATGGGGTTTTATAGCAGATGAAGAAGAGCCCCAACCTTTTTCTGAACAGTGCTGAGAAAATGATGAGGGCATTCAGAAAAAAGAAGCCCAGTGAAATATCATGAAAACAATAAAATAAATTCTAATTTTAAAGGGATAACATCAGTCTGTACTCATTAATAAGATGAGTTAAACTTGGGTGAGCATAACCTGCACCTCAGCTGGGCAGTACAATAGAACCAGTGCTGTTGGCAGAGGTGTGAGTGAGCCAGCCCCAATGTTGTGAGCATGGGAGAGCTGTCCCTATTACTCATCTGCTATGTGACAGCATGAGTGGGAGAGAGATGCTCCCCACCCCCGCCCATCAATGCCTTAGTGAGGTGAGAGAGGTGGCCCTAAGGTCTTACGAGCAGGAGAGCTGTCCCTACCCCTCATCAGCTGCAGCACTCATGAGAGTGGCTCCTACACCATGCCTGGGCAACACAGTAGAGCTGGCCCTAAAGGTTTAGGTGTGGGAGAGTCAACCCTAAGGATGGGAAAGCCGGAGAACTGATCCTGCCCCTTGCTCATTGCTGCAAGGGGTGAATTAGCCAGGGCAATGCTGGAGAGCTCACCGTGGTGGCAAAGTCAGGGGAGCACTGGCAGGCTGACTAACCCTGCAACTACCCAGGCCCAAACCCAGGGTCAGGTGCTGGCTGATCCCAACACCCACCCCATCTGTGATCTGCTGAAGCACAGAGGGGTAGTGTCAGCCCTGTGGACCCAGGACTGCAGGATCTCCACAACACAGAGCAGCAACAGGATACCCAGGAAGAGTCCCAGTGAGGGCCCAGTGTTGATGGTGCCACAGAGACTAGGGGCCTTGAACCAGAGCACTGATTTTTTGCAATAAATGCCTGTATGTAAAAATGTATGGATAACCCACAGAAACAGCTGGCCTGAACAAGGGGGAACACATCGACCCCAGATGCTGTCTGGGAGGCCAGTACAGGATTGATCCAGACCCCTTAATATGGATGTCAATGAGGAGGCCTCTGCACTCTAGGGGGCCCCTGGTAGTGGATTACTATTTTTCCCTGGTGTAAGAAGGGTCTTTGAGAGCCCATCCCACGTGAAGGGATGCACTCTTGCCCTGGACACATGGGGAAGGGCCCAGGACCAGCCCAGGATGATGTGGTAGACTTTGCAGAGTCCCTGTTGAGGGCCCTACCCTGCCTGGGGAGTGGAGGGTGGATGGGGTAGGGGGTAGGTAGGGGTGGGGTAGGAGGGGTGAGGGTGAGGGAGAGAGAGGGAGAAGGGATTGACATGTGAAACAAGCTTGTTCCTAATTTGAATTAATAAAAAAATAAAATATAAAAATAAAAAATAAAAATGCATGGATAAAGGGGCTGACTGCATGATTCACTGTGTCACACTGAAGCTTCCATGATGAGATTTTTCCCCTTCTTCCTCATTTTTCCTTTTATTTCTTCTTAAATTTTATCATTTTATTAGGGAGTGGGGAGAGGTGGGATGGGAAGGCATGATGTGAAAGACACAAAGAATAAATAAATAAAATGTAAAAAAAATTAAGGTTGGTTAACAATTAAAAATTCACTACTTAAAGAATTCTCCCATGTATCTTCTTTTAAAACTGTTTTTTTCTCTCTTGGATTAAATAATATTCTTTGTGTTTTCATCTTATTATGGGAACCTTTTAAATTATGTTGATTTTTATGCCATCAGGATTTCAGTAACCTTGGCAAAATAATCTTTCCAGGCCCTAGGTTTCTCAGTTTTAACATAAGTGATGAGAGAATCCACAAAGTAGAATTGGTGGGCATGAGCAAAATACACATTGCTTAAATTACCAACAGGTAGACAATGAAGAGTGTTGTATTTTAGCTTATTAAAATTTAACAGGAATGTACACACACACACACACACACACACACACACACACACACATCAACCTTCTACCTGGTCAACCAATAGGAAAGCTGTGCAAGAGCATACCCCGGAAGTTAACCATGTGGGAGAAATGAATGCGTCTTCGAATGGCCTCAAGAGTGTTCCTTGTCACTTTCAAAAGAGCATCAATGTTTTGATGGTTAAAATGGGAAAGCAGTTCACGGGCTTCCTCTAATATCTCGCTTTCTTTTTTCTTTCGTGTGACTGCTGTCAAAGGCAGAGGACTGGCCCCAGAATTAAAGGAAGATGCCAAAGCCTCAGAATGTCCTTCTCTTCTTCCTGAGAGAGAGAAAGATTCACTAAATTACAGGGAGAAGATTAAGATAAATTACATGAAAGCTCAATATCACTTAAATGTCCTGCATCTAAGAAAAAAAGATCACTGAAGAATAGGAGCCTAGTAGAAACTGTCTCAGTATGGGAAAATAGCCAATAACAGATCAAAGACTGTAAGTTAAAAGTTATCCTGGGCCTTAAAGACCTGTGTTCTGGTATGTTCTCTTCCAACAATAGTTCTAAAAAAAACTTGAGAAATAGTATCTCTCCCTCCTCTCCCCCCCCACCCCGCCCACCTCCTCTCAGTAGCAAACAGTTTGCTTTAGTTTGTATAGGCTTGGGGAGAAATTCTAACTCTTTTCTACCCCACCCTATGCCAAAGGGAAATAAAATACCAAACCTTACATTCATTAAAAAAGAGTCAAATGCCAGGGCATTCCTTCAAGCAAAGCACATTTGTAGTTTAACACAAAATAATGAGAAGAAGCAACCAAGTCATTGCCATTTGTGCGGAATCATAATTTCATATTTATAAATACCAGTATAAAATCGGGGTAATGTTTCTAGAAGTATGAAATTGACTGCTGTGTAGAAAATTAAATTTTAGTTTTCAGTGAATATCTTGAAAAGAAAAAAAATAGAGCAGACCCTTTTGTTATCTTCCCTCTCACCTGAAGTGTCACTATTAGAGCTGATGTTCTTGTGAGACACTATTTCACTTTCTTCTTCAGGTGGGACATCCACATCCAGTAACATGTTTATTAGCTCATTGACTGCTTCCTCCACTAGAGAGCTTTTAAAATGGAGTATCTGAGCACCATTCACACAAAGGTCCTAACAACAGTAAGAACAAAAGATGGCAGTCAAGGATCTTTATCTAGCTCCTGAGAGTTTGTAAGGAAAGGTGCGAAGTCAGCCTCCAACTGACACTTTAGTTTCAGTGATGGTTGGACAATGGTGGTCAACCTCAATTGTCTGTTTGAGACCTAGAGTCAGCAGAGGTGGGAAAACCTGTTTGACTGGGTGGTTCTGTTCCTGGGGCTTGGCCCCTGCACTGTATAAAAGGAAGAGTGTGAGGTAAACACAAGCATCCCTCAAGTTCCTGCTGCTCTAACTTCCAGGCCATGGTGGATTGTAATCTCAAACTGGAAGCCACAGTAAACCCCAGCCAGACATCCTGAGGAGAAAGCATCAAAGACAAGAGAACCACCTGGAGCCAGGGGAATGAACCAAAACTGCATTAACTTCCCAGTACAGAGGAAATAACTCCCAAAGCCATCAGCAGCCTCTAGTCTCATGAAATTCCCTTCATGTGATGGGAATCTGCTCTTGCTAGTTGTCTTCCCTTCTCATCATGTCTGGAAAACCATGTCATGTGCTTCATTTCAGATCTATGCCGTCTTCAGCTAGGTTGTGCCTTTCTCAGAAATAAAAGAAGACAACTATAACACAATATGAAGCACTGTGGTAGATTTTGTGACAGACATATAAAGATAGGTAAAACCCAAAGAAGCATTTCTTTTACCGCCTAGGTAAAAGGGAAAAGCTCAATAAATAATAGACTTTGTCAGTTGGCCACAGTTTCCAAGCTTTTTCAATTTCATTGGTTTATATATTAAGACTGTAACAGTTCCTGGACTTTGCACTTCTCTCAGTTCATGGTTCTGATACCTCGTCACTTAGCAACCTTGACTTCTACATACCCCTCTTCATCAAGGCAACCTTGACTTCTACACTCCACTCTTCATCATGGCAACCTTGACTTCTACACACCCCTGTTCAGTAAGGCACATGATATTTCGATGCCAATAAAGTGAATATTCTAATATATTCTGGAACAAACTTTTAAACTTGGTTATTACAAGCAAAATAACAACATTACTCAACTCAGAACTTCACCTAACCAGGTTTATCTTGTTCTGTTCTTAAAACTGGGAAACAGGGAATGATGCTGTGAAATGCTGGTCTCTGGACATGACATTGTTACTACATATATAACTCACAGTAACTATAGTTACCTACACAAGACCAAACCAGTTAAAACTTCCAGCATGAAGAGGGAGAACCTCCTGAGGCCCCATCACTAGCTGAGGAGAGTGGATAGCTGCTGGGGGAGGCAGAGTTGGTTTTTCTTGAAGGGCAGTCACTGGCAGGTTGCCTGTGTCCAAGTAGATTATCCCACAGGCTTGTATATTTAGATGATGTTTTTAAAAAGAACTTGAAGTTAGAAGAGGGACCAGAAGAGTTGGGGGGATGAAGTTGATACAGATATGATTAGGATGTATTATATGAATGTGTGAGATCTTCTAAAGAATAAATTTAAAATATTTTATGTAGTTGTATGTAGTCTGATATATCTATATGCTAGGAGCAGTGTCAAAAACAAAAGAAGTACTTACTGTTATTCACTAGCAAATGGCATTCTACCAGGGAACCTGTTTGCCAAGCTTGTTTCCCTCATGCTAAATCAACTAGCTCCTTGTTCTCTAAGAGATTAATATATTTTTTAAACTACTTCTTGAGTCCTCTGTCTCTGTGCTAGAGAGGCTCAGAATGGACTGGGGTATCATCTCCCATTCTCAAGGGTAGACCTCCCAGGAAATAAGTCCTCCATTGACTTCAGTCCTCTCAGCAGTAGGAGCAAGTATCCCCGAATTCCTTTCTACTGGGCATTTTGGAAAGCAACTCTCGACAATTGATATCATTCCAACAAGAGCACTCAAATTCCTCAACTCTTTCTAAGAGAAGCCACAAATATAAAAGTGAAAACAACATAAAAATTAATAAAGCAGATTATAAACAGAATGAGAACAAAGGAATAATGGATTCATCAAAATGCCCCTATGTCAAACAAAACAAATCAAAGACACTACCTCCAGCACCGTATACTTCATTTCAGTGACTCATCTCCATGGTGACATCAGGCATGGAAACTGTTCACAGGGTCTGTCCCCACCACCTCCCTCTTTACTAAGCAGCTAATGTGGAAAGGGAAAAGCCTCAGAGGCCTCAACCTTACATAAACCACTACAAGCAGCTGAGGAGTGAAGAGAACAAGAGAAATAGTCTTCCCCAGGGAAGAGCACATGAATTAGTTATCTAAAACCAAATGGTCAGCCCTGAAAACATACATATAGGTAACATTATTCAGACTGATTAGGCTATATTTATGTATTTAGGAATATGCATGTATATGAATATATACATATATGTATGTAAACAACAATCAATGGAGGAGAAGCCGTGAATTTGAAATAGAGCAAGGAGGGGTATCTGGGAATATTTGGAGTGAGGAAAGTGATGAGGAAATGATGTAATTATATTATAATCTCAAAAAAAGTAAAAATAAGGTACATATATATATATTGTAAAACAAATAAACAGATTGTAGAAAGTAGAACAGTCAACAGAACACACCTATGGGTACTAAAAACACAGATTAATTTAGATTGTATGATTTTTGCCATTAAAATTAAAATTAATAAATTATGATAAAACGGTGTTTATCAAAGGGTAGTGACATTGGTATTATTGTGTTATGGCTTTATATGTTAGGGTCATCCTTTGGAAAACAATTTGTCTATGAATATAAAGAACTGTGAGATAAAACCATACAGTTTGACACAATAATCTTATTTAGGGGCAATGACAACAATATATATCTATATATATATATATATATTATAGCTCATGAAAAAACAGACAAATTTTGGGAGTCATTTAATGCCCAGATGTAAGACAATATATATCATCTTAGTAAAATGTTATGAAGGTGTCATTTAAGTGGTGCCTTTGAAAGTCATATAATGACATGAAAAAAATATTTTACAAAGAAATAGTAGCTGAAAGGCAAAAAGCATAATCACTAGCAAATTGGCTGTGAGAGTCATGAAATACATAAAATTCACAGCAATGGTGATATGGTGGGTAGGAGTGGTAGTTTCTCCATTTTTAAAATCTAAAATCTAATTTGAAATTTTTAAGCTACATTTTGTAAACAACAGAGCTAAGTGATTTCTCTTATGATGAGGAGGAAACTTTAAAATTAGCAGGAAAATTATTAAAAATCATTGTCTAGCTGAGAAACATGGCTTTTGTGACCAGAATACTTCTGTAAACAACATGGTTTACCCTGAATCCTTGATTCCTTCTAAGAGTCTCAGTCTTTTCACGAAAAGCTGAGTGTAGAGTGGTGACAAAAGCCAATAAAAACTTAGAGCATTGGGAATAAAGAGGTGGTTCAGGGGTTAAGAATGTTTGTTGCTCTACCAGAGTTCACAGTTCAGGTCAGAAGAGGGCATAAGAATTAAAAATTAAGCTTCAGGAATTTCATGCCCTCTTCTGGCCTCTGTGGATACCTGGCATTCATGTGGTACAGAGACACACATGCGCGGAAAGTTTGCATGTGAATTGCTGTAGTTACATTGTTGGGTGAAGAGAGTTCTCCCTGAGTCCTCACTGGAAAAAGCTAGCATAAGGAAGATTTCCCCCAGACTCTACCTACCTTCTCTGTCATTCCACTGTGGCAACCACTCTGTCTTGGTAATAAATCTGAACTCTAGTGTAGCCACAAGCTGAATGGAATATAATGGGTCCTCCAGTAAGCACCACTGGCCAACAGTATTAAAATCATCATTAAAGAGTTCACATCACCAGAATGCCCATAGAGAATGTTATAAATGAGGCTAAAGTGCCATTTCCAAAAGGGATAAACATTATCCTGGGCCTAACATAGGAAGAAAGTTCCCCATTTGCAAGGCTGTTTGAGAAATTATGGAGACCTTCTGAGGGTTTTATTTTCATATGTTGAAGTATGGTGAACCTGTAAACACAGCATCCAACCTGTGTGGTTTACACAAGCCTCTGACCCGTCCCTTTCCTAGGAACAAGTCCAGAACTCTATGCTACAAAATACTAGTTTGGAAATAGCTCTTTGGAAGTGCATGAAGAAGAAACCTTGCCTAAAATCTGCCCCTAGTACTGCATAATTAGCCTTTGCTTACTGAAGCGCTTTAAAAAAAAAATACCTTTGCCCTTCATAAAACATTAAAAAAAATTGGAAATCAGTGCCACAGCTATTCTCCCTTCAACTGATCTGAAAGGAACTAAATTATTAGTAGCTGCTTAGATAACATTTTCTTTATCTTCAAGTTGTCAGAAGTTCCCACATTTGAATAACATCTATCACAGAGAAAAATAGAAATTTTTTTAAATCTCAATTTATGATTCAAGTATGCCTTTTATTTAAAAAATGTTTTGTGTCAAAAAAAATTAAGTGTTCTGATAACCTTTGTCATTTGGAGGAATTCTTCACAAGTGAGGGGGTCCTCCTGAGGGAGCTGACAAAGTGACATGCTGCTCATTTCTTCCAGAATGGCGTTGATGCGGAACTCAATCAAATCATTGACTCGGTCAAGCAGCAGCTCCAGGTCCTCTTTGGGAAAAACAAAATGAATGACAGATTAGGTAAAACATTACCTTAAACGTGTACCCCTGATTCAATGACGGCAGGGGTATCAGGATTAAAGTCACTTGGGTTATACTTATCTGTTTTAGATGCCATGACCAAGGGAACATATAGAAAAAAAAAATGTTTTAATGGGAGCTTTCTTACAGTTCAGGAAGTGAGTTGGTAATGATCATGGTGGGGAGCATGGCAACGGGCAGGTAGGCTTGGTGCTAGAGCGTAACTGAGAGTTTGCATTTTGAGACAACCACCATGAGGCAGAGGAAGCACACTAGGGATAGCATGGGTTTTGGAAACCTCAGAATACACTCTCATGGGGTGACATACTTCCTCCAAGAAGGCCACACTTCCTAATCTATCCTGAACAGTTCCACCAACCAGGGACCAAGCAATCAAATATAGAGTCTGTGGAGTATATTCTTGTTAAAATCACCACAATGTCCTTGGTGCTTTTGGCTGCTTCACACCTAGCTGTTGCACACTCTTCCTCCTTTAACAGTTCCCAGCTTTCCCACTGGCCTGGCTCTGTCTCATCTTCCCAGAAGGCCACCTGTAACTGGGCAGGTGGGGAAGGGGCGAGAGGGGGGATGTCCCTGGTCCTGTCCTGCCTATCACCTGAGTGCATCACACTGGCTACTCTTGTGTTTGCTCCTTTGGTGATTGATTTTTTTCCCTCTTTACATCTTGAACAATTATGTCAGTGCCCATCCCAAAGGTTGTCTTCAACAACTGGGATTGAAATGAAAGTCTGCTATTTTTGACATTGCCTTAAATCGATGCCTTCACCACCTAAAGAATAAATACCTAGGTTGCAATCATTTTCAAGCTAACTATCCAGACAACTGATCAGTATACCAATCTTCTTGGCAACAGTAGTCAGTGCGTAAAGAACCAGCACTTCTCCTTAAACGTGTGCACGCCATAGACATCTCTTGTTTCTCCCTTATTCTTCACATCTTCAAAGGCATTTGTGGCAAGTTGAAAAGATGATCTCCCAAGGGGATCCCTAAACCTCTGGGAATATTACGTTATGTAACAAAGGGAACTTTGCGAGTGTACTAAGGATCTTGAGATGCAGAGACCATTCTGGATTTTCTAGGCAGAGTTGTCATATGGACCTTGATGTTGGGAAGCTCAAAATGAGATGGAGAAGAATGTGACCATGGAAGGAGAGAGAGGGGCTGAGAGGAAAGGGGTTGCCCATGAGACACAGCTAGCTCTGAACATGACAGGGTCATTCTCCAACAGATGTAGGCAGCCTATAAGACCTGGAAGCTGCTTTGGGGAGGGTGCCTTGCAGAGTGTCCGGGAAGAACTGTCTCTGAAGAGACTTTGATTTTACCCACATGAAAGTCTTTGCATTTCTGACCTCTGTAATTGAATGATGAAGCCATGAAACTTGTGGCAAGTTGTTACAGCTGCGGTTAAAGAAAACGCAACAGCATTTATTCATGGGGTACACAAAGGATGCCCATCGAAGTTCTGCTGATGACTTAAAAGAACAGTGACTTTTTTTCAGATGTGTGGCCCAATTAAACCTCTGCAGTTATAAAGGTTGACTCCTTTATTTCAGCACAGACTCCACCTGCTCTTGAGACTTCACACAGTTTGTTTACCTTCATCAAAGAAACCTCTCTTGCTGCATATTGAGACCATCATAGAAAAATCACAAATGGTCAAAGTACAGAGAACAATTGACCAAGAGCTGCCCAGTCACAACTACACTTAATCTTGTTCATTGTCTTCTTTGTTTAAGTTACAAAAAGAAAACACAATAGAAAGAGGAGAACTAACATTTCTTTAGAAGCTATCTCCTTGTCTCCAGCTAGCATCTAATAAAATATCCAAATTGCTAATACTCTAATCCTAACACCTCTCTAGGGAGAATACAGCTAAAGACTACCTTAGCAGCCTATTCTAATTTGAATGTGATAACTCTCACTATGAAGTTTTTATATACCTTATAAATGCCTCCTTGGAGATTTTAACCCATTTACTCTGGTTGTATTTCCTAAGGAGAGATACTTTGGAAAGAGTATTGGATTAAAGGCAAAGAAACCCATCTTTATTGCTTCTATCTGTTCAACACTAAATGCCATTTAGTGTCTCTGATTGTTGCTTTCCAATCTTTAAACTGATGATCCTCTTGAAACTGTTTCACAACTTTCTCCATCCTCCTAGTGATATGGTTATCTAACTGTGCACGTTATGGTATCCCGCTCACAAATTCTAATGAGTCTAAAATACACTTCATTAATATGCAAACACTCTGTTACAATTTATCTTTCAATCTAGTTCCCACTTAATTGAGAAGAATTAAAGCAAAAGTATGCAACTAACTTAGATAAGTTTTCTATTGCTGTAATAAAATATCATGATCAAAAGCAACTTGGGGGCAGGGAGTTATTTCATCTTGGAGTTCTTAGTCCATTATCCAGGGAACTCAAGACAGGAATCTAGAAACAGTAACTAAAGCAGACACCAAGGACAGGCACTGCTTACTGGCTAGTTCCTTGAGTCTTGCTCAGCCTGCTTTTTCAAACAATCCAGGATCACCTGACCAGGAGTGGCACTGCCCACAATAGGCTGGGCCTCCCATTGCAATCACCAGTCAAGCTTACCTACAAACCAATCTGCTGGAGAAATTTTCTCAATTAAGATTCCTTCTTCCTACACTAACTTTTGTCGAGTTGAAAAAAAACTTGTTAGCACACCAACCATAATTGCTTACTTCACTCTCTGCCCCAACCTGTACCTCTCAAATATTTTTGAGTAGAATGTGTCTGCTAAAGTAGTCCTTATTAAATAGTATATACTTGTTTGGAAGGTGCAATGAGAAACCTACTGAAAAAGACAAGCTCCTAGTAATTAAAGTTATCCATAAACCAAGTCTTACTTCGGGTGAGACCAAGAGAGACAGAAACAGACACAAAGAGAGACAAAGAGTATTATCACAGGAGTTACCTAGAAGGGATCAAAGGAAAACATGACCCAGAAAGGAAGTAACATGGCAAAGTGGGTTAGTAAGAGGTCAGAGAAATAAAGAAATGGAAATTCTGAAGTTCTGAATCGATAAATATTGGAGCACCTCCAAAACCAGACTGACACAAAAGAAGTACAAGAAGCAGCCTGGGGCAGCCAGTTTGGGAGGAAGATGAAATGGGGCTACACCATCAGGAGACATGTGCAATATGGAGCTCAGCTATCAGCACAACAGATGCCCTGGGAGGAGGTAGACTTCAGGTAATGTAGTCAGGCTAGGATCCTTACACTTTGTATTCTAGACCAAATGCAGGCAAAGTTGGGTCATGAAGAATATATGATAGACAACACTGGGCTGGAAAAAAAAGAATAGAAATGTCTAAGTCTAAAAAAGAAAAGCAAAAACTTCTATCATTATATCCCAATCTGTATGTCCCTATTTTACAGGAGATCTGGGCTTCCATTCTGGAAGGCAGCTATGAATGCTGGGAAATGCCTCATGAAAGAACTCACTTCTGGACATTGAGAGACTGAAAAGCTCTATATAAGCAAACATTTCCAATTGCCTAACATCCCAGATGGACTTGAACCCAAATTTTCTTTGTAAAATAGCTGTGCTTATTCTGGGAAATGAGATTAAATGGAATTTGCTGTCTCCCACACATTTTAAGCTATGCATCCCTAGTTAAGGAAAACTAGCACTCGCTTAAACTCTTCTTATTCAAAATGCCCTGTCCTTCAGCTCCATCCAAACCTAGTCCCCCAAACCACTGCAAGGTCTGCAAGCAAGCTCAGTGGTAGAGCACTTGACTGTGCTCTGAGTTTGATCTAAAAGTAAGTATGAAGAGGAAGAAGAGGGGGCGGAGAAAGAGGTGGAGGAAGGGAGAGGGGGCAAAAACGGAAAGGAAAGGACTAAAAGAAAACAATCTTAATGAACTAATCAATTAGTATAGAAGTTAAATGGCCCTAAAGATGTTTTGGATACTAATATACACAGTAAGAATCAACAAAATCACATGGATAACCTCTGGGAATAAAATTAAATAATAAATATTTGTAATCTGTAAGAAATTACTGAACTCATTGTATTTTTGCTGCTGTTCACCGTGGAAGTTTTGAGCCTTATTTCTTATTTCATTATTTACAAAGGCATATTAATAACAAATTATCCAGTAGGCAATAAGAACTCAGCTCCTAGAACTGAGGAGTAAAACTCATGTAGACAGACTCACTAATCTTTGCAGAAGCATTTTCTAAATATGTCCCAATATTCAGGGACGTCCATGTCAGGGCAGCCATGCCAGGCTGGAGGGCTTCATCCACTCTGGCCAAGTGTGGGACCATCAGTTGTTCAATGGTAGGAGGCATTTTCGACTTCACTCGCTGGTATTCAGACAGAACCATCTGCAATGGCATGGGATTAAATAGCCAGTTTACATGTCACCTCTAATGTGTATTAGCATTTTTATTTTCTTAATTTTTTTAAGATTTCACTTATTATGTATACAACATTCTGCTTCCATGTATATCTGCACACCAGAAGACAGCACCGGATCTCATGGTGAATGGTTGTGAGCCACCATGTAGTTGCTGGGAATTGAACTCAGGACCTCTGGAAGAGCAGTCAGTGCTCTTAACCTCTGAGCCATCTCTCCAGGCCATGTATTAGCATTTTTAATCTACACAGATAACCTTTATTTTTTGATCAAACTATTGGGATCTAATATCCTGACAGGAAGAATGTTGCAAACAAATTAGACAGATGACTGACAAGCACTCTCTACAACCACCAAACCCTAGCCCAGTAAGTTATGACCAAGGATGAGAAAGTAATTGAAGATCATTTCTCAGCATCTACCCGGCCCAAAACAAAGAAAAGAGGTTGGTCTGTGCCTCCCTAGGCTCACTCATTCCATTATTATGGGGACAAGATGCATCTTGCCACTTCGAAGATCTCCTATAAACTACATTCACCATCACAGTTGTCTGAATTGTGAGAACTTTGCTATATAGAACTATCAGCTAAATCTTGACGCAAGACCCAAGGGGCAAAGGGAGAGTAAAGAATCAGTGCTGATTTCGAATGACTTTAAATACCGCCTCTTGGCTGAAACAGATGAGCACATTGTAGACAGGGTAAGCTAAGCCACAGTGTTCATTAGCTTAGGTGTCATAAATGCATTATTTACTTACTGTATTTCCAGCCTCACCATAAGTCAAAAGCAACTGCATAAATAATACAAGGACAAGATTTTTACCTGGTTTTTCTAATTTGCTTGAAATATTAGCTAGAACACATGACAGAATCTATCAGCATTTTTTAACTAACTGGATAGTTCTTACTGGAAAAAAAAATTGTGATCTGAAATGTGAGGGGTTTGAGTTCTCCATTAAAAATCACCTACAATGTAAAGTCAAATTAGATCCCTATTCTGTCCATATGCTATCATTTTCAAATACACCTACTAGCTCCTACTGCCATTTCTCCTTGCAGACGACATCAATGGGCTTCTTAAAGACAAATAGTTTCAAGTCCATATACTTGTACAGGAACTATTGCTATTACCATAATGTTAGATTAATACCTGCCAATTTTTTTTTTGCTGGTATGCTAGAAGAGAAATGATGTTGGGATGGGTATGTTTGCAAAACTCCATGTACAGCAGTATCACAATTAACATTCCTAGTTTTACAGAACCTGTCATAGGGTATGGGATGTCCTGGTGGACTCTGAGAAGGCAGGTAAGCCTAACATCTCCCAAATTATTATCTTCCTATAATAGTTTTCTATGATTTCCATAATGCCCTTTCATTTTTCACAAAAGCCACTAGAGAAAAGCCTGCATTTTGATGATTCTATTAGCAGCTGCTCCCGTGTTTCCTAAAGCCATTAGCCACTGCTTACCGCTGTTTTGTTTTTTTTTTTTCAATGTCCATCACTTATTCTATCAGAAAAATGGTTCTTAGGATCTGCCTCCAGCAGGCCTCCTGCTCCCCACCTTTAATCCTTTAAATCCAGGAAGTGCTGTTCATCCCTTTTACAAATGAGAAACTGAGACTTAAAGGTAAAGTCATTTACCTAGAGATAATGCTTTGAATCCAGATAGTATTGGTTTCAGAATCTATATTCCTCACTATTAGCCCACATCAGATCATCTGTTTTCAGTTTCAAACATCTTCCAAGAAAAAGATGAATAAAACAAACTGTCAGCTGTAGAAACCTGGAAATTGTTATATGCCCAGCACAGTGGTTGTAAAGCTGGGGAGGAGCTTTAGAGGCCCCCCAAGTGGGTTAATAAATCTGCTTTTACCAACTAGCCATGTTACACTGGGCCTTCTCTTTCCACCTCCAAGATACAATAAATGCCAACCAGATGGTATTGTTCTTGTTCAAATCTTTGGTTAGAACAGTAGTAGCTTGCAAACATTCTCTGACACTCTTTTTTTCATGGGGCTGGGTCTGTGTGCTCTTCACCGAATCTCAACGGGCATTCAGAGTACTGACAGTGCTCGACAGAGGATCCTGTGAGATGTCAGGGACTAACACAGGGACTATGTGGCCTTATTCAGTGTAGCACTGGCTCCTTAATAGTGGTATGAGGTCTTCTACATGCCGGTAGAGTCCATACCAGAAATCCTTGTAAAGATGCCCAAGTCCATACTCCCAGCTGAGTATATCATGAAACATCTTTTCAAACTCCTTAGCCCTGAACCATGAAAAGTATGCTAAAAGCACCTATATTTTGAAGTTGTGTGTTACCTGTAACACATAACCGAGAAAGACTCTGTTGTGTGGGGGGGATTATTAGTAGTAATTTTGTGGATGTATAAATACGATTTCTTAGCAAAACTTTTATGTTATAAATATGTAAATTTGTTTTTTGTTTTGTTTTGTTTTGCTTTGTTTTTTGTCTGACACAAAAGAATTTAAGGAGAATGTGAGCTTGCTGACTAGTGTTTTAGGGGCCCACGTTAGAGAAATATCTAACCATGGCAAATTGTAACTTTTTAACATAACAAGAAGTAGTTAGAAGACAGTAGAGAACAATTCTGGGTTCTATCACTTAGCTATAAGACCTTGACTCAGTCAATTTCTTTGAGCCACAGCCCACTCTATCCCACTTACCTTGCATAAGAAAGATGACATTAAATAATGACCGTGAAAAGGCTTTAAATGAACTGAGAATGAAGGCACAGGTCTATAACCCCAGCCACTCGAGAGAGACTGAAACAAAAGGATTGGAAAGAAGTTCAATGTTACAGGTCTATACCCCCAGCCACTCGAGAGAGACTGAAACAAAAGGATTGGAAAGAAGTTCAAGGCCAACCTGGATCACAGGAGTGAGTGAAAGGTGAGACTGCCCTAAACCACACAGTAATGACAGACCTGAGAATACAGCTGGTGGTAAGATGCTTTTCAGCAAGCACAAGGCTCTGTATTCAATGGGAAGTACAACAAAGTGAGAGAGGGGAGGGAGAGGAAAGAGTGGTGGGGAGGGAGGAAGTGAGAGAGTTTAAACCATAAGACACTATGCAAGTGCATGGTCATAGCGTCATCATACGATACTAATCACTGTAATTCCTTTTGAGACAGGCTAACCACAAACTTGCTTCGTAGTCAAGGATGACCTCGAATTTCTGATCCCCTTGCTCTACTTCCCAAGTGCTAGGATTACAGCATGCACCACCACAGCTGGTTTACCATGATATTTTAGTAACAGTTTCTATGTGGTCCAGTACCAAGGCTTCATTTTTGAACTTTTCTTTTTATCCTCAGGGCAGTGGATTTGTCAGTAATGATCAGTCCTTCCTTGCAATTTTTTCTTTACTTGGCTTCCTTGATATTTGGTTTCATCCCACCGCAAAGTCCAAGTCTGATTTGGGGATTGTAATCTTCACTAGATGCATTAATATTGGAACAACCTTATGTCTAATCCAATGGCCCTCTAGTCATCTCTATGTCTGCCCCTCCCTAACAGTTCTCATCCAGGACAATGTCCTTAATAGCAACTACAATCTTTCAGCTCCTAAAAGCATGTCTCCAACTTTGAAGGGTCTACTGAGCCCTGACTTCTAGATCTAATTGCATGGGTACCATGACTACGTGGGTGTCTAAAAAGCCATCCTAGACTTAAGGTGGGCACTATAGATCCTAATGGGCCCCACAAAATAAACCATTTCAAGTCTATATCTTCTCCATAAATGAGAATTACAGTCAAGTCAAGGCCACTGCATATTTTTGGGCAAGTTATGTAGAATACAAGCTACCTGGCCATGCATACCAGCCCAACCCTACTTCAATTACCCTTGAGTTTCCTCTTAACCTGTCTGTGGACACAACTTTAATTGTCTGACCAACTCCGTGGCCATTCTAGCTCAAGTTACTAACCTCATTGTCCATTCTGGATCAATGCAACAAAATTCTGGCTTCTCACTGACACTGTTATCCCAATTGAAGTGCAAAATGTCTGCCTATCCACCAAGCAGCAAGGATTATACTTAATGTAAATGAGAAGGTACCTTATTTTTTGGCCCAAAAATCCTCCAGTGACTTCCTGAAATACTTAGAATAAATCTGAATTTCAATCCTAAGAACTGGAATTCAAATCTTAAGAACCCACATAAACAGGGCAGGCTGCCTGTAATTCCAACCTCAGACAGTGGAAACAGAACCCTCAGAGCAAGCTGACCAGTGATATTAGTCATATTGGTGGGATCTGAGTTTGACTCATAGACCCAGGCTCAATGAATAACATGATAGAGTGATCAGAGATGATTATTGACAACCTTTGGTCTCCATGTACATGTGCACACATAGGTGCATGCATACACACCAAAACAAATGTAAAAGAAAAAAGAAAAGAATAAATGTATACTAGAAACATCCAGGAAGGGGGAAATAAAGGCACCATACCTTCATGTCATTGAAGTTCTTTTTGTACATATCCCGCTTCTGGAAGAGAGCAGCTGCAAATGGTGAGACTGGCAGTCCCATCTGGTACATGCATTCTGTTTCTCTAAATAAGATTAATATCTGAGGATCAAAGTTCACAAACAATTCCCCTGTGCCTGCAGCCTTCACCAGTAAGGAAGCCTCGAGACCTACATGAATTTCTTCAATCTGTGGGAAGAAGTCAATACTGTTACTACCACAGTGCACTGTACACACGGTATCTGGCTCAACCATCCCTGGGACTCAGTGAACACTTAGTCAATATCCTCTCTTGCTAAATCCCCAGCAATGCAGTCATTCACTGTACTCCTAAACTCCCTCTCAGGAAACAGCCTTCAGGTTCTTGGTGGTGATATTGCATAGTCAACCGAATTCAGTTATTTTTTTCATTCTTGAGACTCATACATGACAGATAGGGAGACACTGCAGTAGCCTAGGAAACTTTGGAAGAGACATTTCTGATGTCTTTATGCCTAAGCAGTTTTATGTCCTAGTAAAGGTTATACAAACCCAACAGAACTCAGTTTAAATAAATAAATAAATAAATAATATAGAAATACAATATACGGGTATATATCTATTACTTCTTGCTGATCTACAAAAAAACACAAGTGTTGGCTGGATATATCTTGATTGAATACTAGCACAATGAAATAAAACATAAGAATTATTTTGACACACACACTTGTATTTGCTAATACATTCAGGATCTTATTCTTTCTCTCTCTCTCTCTCTCTCTCTCTCTCTCTCTCTCTCTCTCTCTCTCTTTCCATCTTTGTCTATCTGTCTCTGTGTGTATGTGTATCTATCTCTCTGTCCCCATATCTCTTTCTCACTATGTGTGTGTGTGTGTGCGTGTGTGTGTGTGTGTGTGTGTGTGTGTGTGTGTGTGTGTTGCTGCCATGCTAAGAAATGCTCTGCCACTGAACTGCACACCCAACCAGGATTTACTGAATTTTTAAAAGAGTAAAGAAAAGAAACCCTAACTGACAGTGTAGTGAAATGCTATGTGACTTTCTGATAAATTAAATAATGAGCTACTATTACCTAGCTTACTGGGTTTTTTATATTAATAATTATTTTCTGCCATGGCTACGTTATGCATTTTGATTTCTTAAACTCAACCAAATGGATTTATAAACTATCCCTATCAAATGCTAGAAGGGGGGTTCCCTCTGTATAGACACTAGAAACAACATAAGGAGACCCATTCAGGAATTCACCTGCTGAAGCCATGCCCTATGGTAGAGGACCTCAAACTCCAAGAGGACCTTGCCCATCCTGTTGTAACTGCGTATTACTGGTTTGGCCTCGGCAGTCCTCAGAACAAAGGGATGCTGCTGGAAGAGTTGCATTGGCTGCTCCAACCTGTGGAATAGCTGCCGAGCCCACAGGATCTTCCCAGCTATGGGAGGCTGGTTCCGAGCCAAGGGAGGGTCATATTTCTGTTTTGTATACAGCTTAGAAATCATGTCGATGTCAGCCCCAAAATTCTGAAAAATTACTTGGTATTTTTCCTCAATACCAAGGTTAGGTATATTCAATCTGTTGGGGAAAAAAGAAGGTACAAAATTTTGGATTAATGAGAAAATATTTATATTAATCTTATTTATTAACACCCATTTTAAAACACGCCAACTGAAAGAAACGGAGTAGCTGTGTAGTGGTTTTATAGAACCAAAATAGTATCAGTCCTTACAAGGCAAAATCGCTAACCTGGGAAGAATTATCTCAAATTATTCAGACATTAGGCAGTATTACTACAGGCGGCTGTGGCTGCTTCAAAGCCAAGAGTATTCTCTGTTGGCGGAGATGAAGCAGATCCTTAATCCTTTCAGGAATTAATCCTGTTAAGCCTCTGAAAAACTTAAAACCTGTGACCTTGTGACTCAGACTGTCAAGAGGCTTTTCTCTGCATTAGAATACGAAGTTATAATAAGAGTTATAATTACAATAAAAGATAAGCTATAAAAAGAAGCTAAACTGTGCTCGCATTATCCCAAGTTTAGAAGATGGAACTTGGGAAGTTACTGCAAATCTTTACCTTTCAAATTTCTTCAGCATGCTCAGAGCTTGCCTTGTGCTTTGAACCTTTTCAAATGAGACATCCATGAACTTCTGCAACTCGTTCTAGAAATAGAACAAAACTGCATCATGAACAATAAATTAGCACTAAGATGTTCCTTTGAGACAAGGTCATCCTATGAAGCCCAGGCTGAACTCAAATTCCTAGCCCTCCTGCCTGCATCTCCCAAGGGCTGAGACTAAACATGTGTCCCACTGTATGAGAAATAGTGAGGAGTCTCCATTTAGCAATAGAAGAAAAGAGATCCACATTCTTTACACTATTTCCAATGGGTGGGAAAATGGAACAGAAAATTTAGTAAAACTAAAAGGAAAATAAATGTCCAGAAGCCAGAAGTGTGTGTGTGTGTGTGTGTGTGTGTGTGTGTGTGTGTGTGTGTGTGTGTACATATTCATGTATGTGTACCTGCATGTATGTATAAAGGTGTGCTGTGTGTGCAATGCATGCACAGATGCATTTTTGCATTCAAACATCAGAGGATATTAGTGTCATTCTTCAGTAACTATCTACCTTTTCAGAGAGAAAAATCTTTCATTGGCTTAAAGTTCACCAAGTAAGTGAGGCTACTGGCCAGCAAGTCCCAGGGATCTTCCTGTCTACACCTCCCCACTGCTAGAGTTACAAGCTTATGCCACTATACCTAGGATTTTTAACATAGACTCTGGGGCTCAAACTCAGACCCTCACGATTGCAAGGAAAACACTTGATGGACTGTGTTAACCTGGTTGTATTCCTATAAAGAAAGATGTACCCCTGTATCTCCTAAGGATGAAGGAACCCTGCATAGTAATATGTCAGACAGCTACCAAGTTGTCTCCCACCATAGCCTCCCTGACTGCCATTTCCTAATAAAAAATGATCCCCCCGATTATCCCAGAGTGTCCTGTGTATGCTTCATTTATCACATGACCCCACAATGGATAGGCTCTACGCTGTGCACTTGTACCCCTGAAGTTGTCACCCAAACCCTCCCCCAGGAACCTGGAGCCAGACTGCTTCTGTAGTGTGTTCTCTGATGCTGATTAAGGCTGTGCTGCCAGGGGGAGGGGGGCAGAAAGTCAGGGTGGGTGGTCTGCAGTGAGTAAAGATGATAAGGAAGAAAGCAAGGAGCGCCAGGAAAGAGCAAGAGGGCCGGGGCACCATGGTTTCTAAGGCCTGCTACAGCCCTGCCTTTACAATCAGCCAGGCATAGCTGGCAGTCTGTTAGGTTTCCTCTGATCATAATCATTAATACTCCATAAGTAACAAAGGGAAACAAGTGTCACAGCTTTAATGAAGCTACAGAGCATTTCAACAGAGGATGAAAGTTAACTTCCTAAGAACTGAGACGGAAGGTGCACAGGAGTCTGTGATTACAATCATTAGCCAAGCTGTATTTATGACCCTTTAATCCAGAAAAAGCAGCCCTCAATTATTCATCTGAAATCACAAAACGCAGGCGGAGATTGCTGCCAGCCACCCCTGTGATGAAGATAGCTCTGCCTGCTGAATGGGGAATGATGTTCAGCGTGACACAGAAAGGACGGAGAAAGTGTGTGGCTGTCACCAGGGACTTTTACCGTGCCACCTACATGAAGGTCATTAGTCCGCTTGCAAAACTCTTCATAATCCTGGTCAAAATCCATTTTCCGCTGATCTAAGAAGTTATATTCCTTGTTCTTTATGGCAGCAACAATATCCTGAAATAGATGGAAGAAATGGACAGTGTTTCGCTATGCTTTTAGTCCTTGTGACTTGTAGCCCTTAAATGCAGAACTTCATAAAAAATAATTCCCAAAAAGATGTCTGTTTAAAAGGAACCTTATTTTCTACTTCTCTCATTGATTTTGTTCTATTTGCTTTACACACAGTACAATTATGCCATCCTTCATCCCAAGAAATCATCCATAAAATATTGTCACATGCTTCTACTGATTATTTGAGCAAAAATATACAATTAAATAATTCACATGTGAAAATCAGAAGATGATTTCTCAAAAGTTTCCTATATTAATCACATCTGAAACAAGCTAAAAAGAAACCCAGGGTAGCATTTAATAAAACGTTATTTTTGTTGAAAGGCTTAAATAATCGCAAAAACTAGATAGAAAAGAGACTAACAAAATAAACCAGACAGGAAGAAAATGGGGGTGCCTCAATACCCACAGAAGAGATGCTATCTCCCAAATCAAATATTTAAATGAGATGGCAAACACAGTCTACTAGTTTCAAATGCTCTAGAATTAATTTCTGTTTTGCTCTTCTGTAGGAAAGTATAAATTAGGCAGTTCGTCTCCTTGAGAACACTATTATCAGAAGCTCTGTTTACTCAGAATGATGAGTAGTGATGCTTTGTGATCAGTCCTAACCAGGTGCTAAGCTGTTCTCAAACTCAGAGCCCCACATTGTTGACAGAGGCGTATAATTTTTATGAAGAGTATTGGGCCTCCTCCCACAATCTTCTCTTCAAAGTCATTTCCATTTAGGCATCATTCAAATCTCTTAATATACAAAAAAAAATACACAAGCTGCTTAACTTCTACAGTCAAGTCTACTAGTGAGAACAACACACTCTTCCTTGCTGTCTCTATGAAGACAAGAGTATTTACATATGGAAACTCTGAGTGTGCATGTACTATGTGACATGTTTAAGACAAATGTGGAGAAGCTACATTAACTTTTTCAACACATATTCCCTTTTTATTCAACTTTTTTTTGAGAATTTCATCTAGCATACTATTATTCACATCTCCATACCTCCCCTTCTGACTCCTTCCCACTCCCTTTCAAATTAATGATCATTTCTTTTGAAATTATTATTGTTACATCTCTCTCTCTCTCTCTCTCTCTCTCTCTCTGTGTGTGTGTGTGTGTGTGTGTGTGTGTGTGTGTGTGTATGTGTGTATGCGCGCACACAAGCGCGCGTGCGCATGTGTCACATACACTTACCAAGTTCATTTAGTGTTGTTCATTGTATCTATGCTTAGGGATGACCACCTAGAATTGGATGACCCCTGGGAAAGACTATTTGTAGCTCTTCATCTAAAGTGGGACCTTGTGAGATTCCCTTCATCCACATTGTCACTGTCGACTGCCATGGCCATTATGTAGGTCCTGTTTAGGCAACCATGTTGTTGAGACCACATGGCTGCCATATCCCAGTCATGTCTAAAAGACACTGTCTGCCACCATTTGGCCCTTTGGCTCTCATAGTCTTCTATGCCCTCTTCCACTGAGCCTCATCTGCAGGGACTGTGTTTGAATGTAGCAATCAGGGTTGGGAACTCCATGATCTCTTATTCTATAACTTATATACATATGTGTGTTTGGTAGGTATATATTCGAGTGCAGGCTTGTACATGTCACATGTCACAGCCTGCCGGTAGCAGTCAGAGAACAACCTTTGAGTATCTGTTATTTCTTTCCACTATGTGTTCTGAGGTTCACACTCAGGTTGTCAGCATGGCCCAGCAAACACTTTTGCATGTGAAATCACCACACTGACTCTAGTTCTTTATTTATTTTTAACAAGTACACAAGTAAAATGATTCAAATAATTAAATGTCACCCAAATCCTGGTATCAAATAGTGCCTGACATACAGAAAGTTCTTCAAAAACTATCTCTGCATGAATCAAGTAACAGTAAAAGAGGATAAGAAAATCTAAATAAAGGGGTATGAGGAAGAAGTAAATACAGGTAATGGTCATGAGTTATGAAAGAGGATATAAAGCTAAGCGTATTCCTATCTCTAATTATGTGGGTTGAGTCTTGGCAGCCAGGAAGCACATAGAATATATTCAATACTGAAAGTGTAAACTCTAATGAGAAGCTTCACAGCATCCTTCTCAAATTCCAATTCTAATTATATTTAAGTTTGTTAAGTTGGATGACTTTGGGTCTGCATAACTTGGTATGTGATGATTTTATCTATTTTCAGGATTTTTTATAATAAAATTACTTTTTAAAAAGGAAAACATTATATTTTAACAGCTCTTTTTTGTCGCTGATGAAAATGCTTTTCCTTAAAGACATAAGGAAACAGTTGAGACAGATGCCATCCTTAAAACCACATGCCTGAAAAGAATGTACTAGTCCCACTATGCAATTCTCAAATGAATACAATTTTCCTTATTATTAAATAACCCAAACACATTTTATATTATGCACTGATAATTTGTCTAAATATCACTGTTTGGTAAAATAATTTTAGTTATAGGCAGTGACAGGAAAGAGTATTTAAATGTCTAATACCTGGTATTTAGTGACCATGTCTTCCAACCCCTCTATTTTGGAATCCTGCAGAACTGAGTATGTCTTGAAGGTTGTAAAGATGTCCATTATCTTAGCCAGACGGCGATGGAAAGTTTCAAATTTTCCAAAAATATACATCTCGCTAAAGTCAAATTGTTTTTCACTTGGATTCTGCTTAAGCTTTTGTTTTGTCTCGTGAAAGCAGGCCTGGTACCCCTGTCAACCAAAAGCAAAGAGTTAAGGAAGGTAGGGCGCCGGGTAGAGCACCTGCCTAACATCAACACAACCTGGGTCCACCGCTAACATGGAAAGAAGGGAGGGAGGGAGTGGGGGTGGAGGAAGGAAGTCACCTTATTTCTCAAGTGAAGGTGACAGCAAAATCAGACTGAAAATCCACATATTTTCATAACTGTATTCTTTTGCATTTAGCCATCAGCCTGAACCATTATCCTTCCTGATCTTCTAATCCAACAAACTATTATTCCTAATGCAACTCCAGCCTGTGTCTTGCCCTCCTTGATCCCACTGTTTCAGTAACGGAATCACTTTATGTCCATCTCCCCATTGATCTATACTTAAAAAAAAAAACTAATCTTAGTCACCAGTGTATCTCAGAACCTAAGGAAAATAAACGAATAAACATTCTCAGAAGTTTTGTTAACACTCAGAAGTTTTCCTAACAATGAAGGTATTTTGTAAAAATAAAACAATTGCTATTCTGTTGAGCAGCCAAAATATCATTGGCAAGTGATTTAACATGGTGTCAGAAAAGCAACGCAAAACACTAGACATGGGAGCCACTACTGGGCTAAGCTAGTCTTTACCTGTTTAAGCTGGATTGCAGATGCTATCTTTTGCATGACAATGTCCTGAGGCTGGCTCCAGATGGTGGCAGTCCCGTGGCTGGTGATATGGGCTTTACATGCAGATATCATCTGATTTGTCACCTGAAATTTTTCCAATAAAATAATGTTAGGTGTATAAAACTCTCATGAACCATAACTCTGAATCGAGTCCTCGAGTCTTCTTCCTCTCAGAATCCACCGTCTGTGACCTTCATCTTTCTTTGGCTTTGCTTTTCCCTCACAACTCTGATCAACCCCTGACCCTCTAATACAGTCAGAAGCAACAGTCTGAGTTGTGCTTGGCTATCCCAGGATGATGGAGGAGGAGTCACTGTAGCCAGCAGTAAGTAGTCATTCTACTCTGAATGGCTCCACACCAGTGGTGTCACAAAGCAAAAGCCAAAAATGAAAGACAGGAAAGTAGGATGAATATTTTGGTAGCAGGAAGTGGGGATTGGTAACTGTAGAAGGAGGATGACACAGGATGGAAAGGTGAATGTGACCAAAATGTATTTTATATGTTGTGAGACTGTCAAAGAATAAATTCAAAAACCATCTGTGAAACCAGCGTTGGACACACTACGAAAAATAAACCATGGGGTTCACATGTTTATACAAAAAGCTGATCTTAACCAACCAAAGGACTGGCTCCCCTGTCTAACAGCCACTAGGAGTCCCTCTGTAGGCCCTCCTCTCTAACGTCTACCTCACAGTTAACTAGCCCCATGTAAAGTGCAGTCCAACTAGATAGTTTATGTCACCATGACCCACCGTGAACATATTAAAAAGAGGACATCAGAGAAACACTTATAAAGCTAATGCAGACAGACACTTATATGATATTCATCGCTCCAAACTTCAAAAACATCTTCTTCAAGGGTTTCCTTATTGCTTTTAAATAAATCAAAAATGTAATTAAATGAATGTACAATATAAAAGGGGTGGCACTGACTTGGTCAAGAATCACAGGTAGGGCTGGAGACGAGTCAAGCAGTTGAAAGCATTTCTTGTTCTTGCAGAGGACCCAGGTTTGATGCCTGGAACCCACATGGTGACTAAAAGCTGTCTGGAACTCTGGGTCCAGGGGATCTGATCTACTCTTCTAACATATGCAGATACTAAGTATGCATATGCTGCACAAACATACATGCAAACAAAACACCCATATACACAAAATAAAAATGAATAAATCTTACAAGTGAGGGTATGTGCTGGTGCCTGTTGATTTTAGGAATATGTATGTGTTAGTCTTGGCCAAAACTTACACAGTAGTAAATAATGGCAGGCTAGAAATAACATAGGAAAATTATGAAAAGAAACTTATTTTTTAATATGGAAAATAATAGAATATTTATTGTAACAATCACTCTGGGCAACAATGCTTTGTCTGCTAAAATTCACCTGTCACATGAATTTATTTGCATATCCATTGACAAATTAAACCCTCCTAAATATAAAGTGCATACATAATAAAGCCAAGGTAATAGATTTGAATTATCCAAAAAGTGGCCATTGGCAGCTATGTGACCACAAGCTCTGTCCTGTGCACTCACCTTTACGAAAAGAGATGTGATCTTCTCAGAGGTGTTATAGTAGTGAGAGATGCTGTAGATCATTTTAATTGCATTTATAAGTGTGGGTATAGCATCTATCATAGTTATCTGGAAGACATTCCAGAAAATGCCAAATTAAACAAAACTCTCATTATGATAGTATAATCATTCTATTTTCATGAAAATAAAGTTTTGTTATTGACAAATAAAATCTTAAAAAGTACCTGATGCTTTATACAGTTATAGCTTACCATGAGCTCATTTTTATTATTCTAGCTATATGTGATAAATCAAAATTTATTTCAGTACAAAAGGCTTGTTGTCCATGACAAGTAGGTTATGCTAACAGTGGGTTTTGTAATGTACACTGTAGCATGATAAATAAAAGAGCCAGAGACTGATACTGAGGTTCAAGCTTCAAGCTGAAGATCACAGAAGCAAAGCAACCAAGCTAGTCGATCTTACTCAGACTGAATGGCAATGCTGTCTCCACAAATTCTCAGAGGCAAAAGCCTTTTAATTCCCATTTCCTCCTCCTTATATTCCATTCTCTGCCCAGTCATATCCTCCTGTCTCTACTTCCCTACTGATCCCAACTGCTGAGATAACCGTTGTGGGTGCTGTTTCATTTAGGCCTGCATCAATTTTGTGGAACTTGAGCAAGCAGAGATCTGTCTACCTCTTAATCCTGAGTCCTAAGATTAAAGGTGTGTGCCTGGCTTCAATGGCTAACTAGTATGGCTACTTTGCTATTTTGATCTCCAGTGGATTTAATAAATCACAAACAATATATCACCACACAAGCAGACATTTTCTACAGCTAACAGATTTTTTTAGAACATCAGCCAATAACTTTCCCCATAAATTCTTTGGGGTATAATTAGAATATCAGCTTCAATATTTAATGGGAAATGTATATAATGGGAATATATTTTTGAAATGTAACATTTTTTAAAAAAACAACATTCAAAATAGATAATAGATTAGATGGATGGATGGATAGATAGATAGATAGATAGATAGATAGATAGATAGATAGATAGATATGATGGAAGAGGGCATAAAGTATATACAAAGTTATGTTTCCAAGACCTTTCCAACAAAAGGCCACATCTGTCAGCTGAAATTCAGCACTCCATTCTGCTGGTGTGGAAAGGATCACCAGTGGACTTAAGGAGCAAAAACCTTAACTCACAGGGTCACTGCTGTACAGAGGGTCACAGCATTTCTCCAGTGTGTACAAATATTTGACATTGTCCTTTGCTTCATTAGCTGCATCCGTGATCCTAATGTCTGTCTCCCGCCAAACCTAAGCACAACACAGAAACAATTAACAATTAACTCAATTAACCCCAGAGGAACTTGCAAAGTAAGAACAACTAAGCATCACCTCCCATTCCTTCATCATCACCATTTGCTCTCTGCCTCCTGCATTTAAAAAATGAATCTTACAAGCATATGGAAGAGCAACTCAAAAAAAAAAAAAAAAAAAACTTGACTAAGTGTTTAAGGGCATCCATGTTGAGATTTCTCTTGTATATGCTACTCTAACACAGAGCACTGCCAGGCCAGATGACAAGATAACACAGTCCTGCAAAGCCACAGCTTCCTGCTCTGCAGACACCACACTAGCGATATGTCCCATGCCCTTGTTTCCCATATTCTCTGTACTCTAACATGAGTTCCCTTTCCCCAGAGCCCTAAACTAGTGTGGCATAACAACTATTTACTATCAACTATTTGTCAAGACATTAAAATAGAAAGACATCTAAAAATTAAAGAGGTTATAACACACTGAAATGGCTTTATGCAAATCATAATGGTAGTCTTTCTGAACTGTATTGTATCACAAAATGTGAAGTTACTCTAGAGCACACAATGCAAGAAAAGTCTAAATAGAGTTCAACAAAAGCAATGCTGTATTACTCCCAGGATTAGCTTGCAAAGATGATGGCCTCTGTGTTGGGTGTTCCCTTACACAGTCACTAGCCCTCTTTAAAAGAAGCCTGGTACCCATCAGCTGCCTGTGGAGAGGAGTATGTGGTAAGAACTGAAGGATGCCTCTGGCCAACACAGAGCAGCCATGTCCTGAGCAAACTCGGAAACAGGCCCTTCCCATGTGAACCTTCCGGTAAACCCAGATGTAGCCTCAGAAGAACCTTGAGTCGGAGGTACCTAGCTAAGCTGCCCCCCAGTTCCTGACCTTGGGTAAAACTACTGTTTTCAGCTAGTGAGTTTTGGGGTTATTTGCTTTGCAGTATAGAACTAATATTTGAGCACTTAAGTTTTTATGTTGCTCCATCTATATTGTCTGAGTTTACTGCATGCTGTGTATATATATGTACATGTACAGTCACATGATTGCATTGTATCTTAGTTATTTTCAATGTTCATTAATAATACATATACATACAAGTATAACAGCCACCCAATGTCTTTAATTTGAAGGCTAATTCACAGTATCCAAAATTACGTGACTAATATTATTCAGTCTTAAAATATTTTCATGTGGATAAAATAATGCCTTTCTGTTCCCAATTTCTCTGTGGAGTTGGGGATAGAGAGCTCTCTTATTCCCTTATCATAAGTCACAGCAAAAATGGCTAGGAACCTTCAGCAGCTTGGACTTGGCTGCAGCAAGCACTGCCAGTGCAGCCTTCACCTGCGGGCTTTTCAACTGATCTAAAAGGTAATTAAATTTGGAGAGCCGTTTTTTCCAGTGCTCCAACTCTGCTCGAGGCCCAACGTCATCTGCTTCCTTCCGCAGCTGATTGTTCTCAGCAAGGATCTGTAGATGCAGAAGAACAAGCAATCGTGTGAGGCTTGAGGTAGGAAAACCATGCATAAGACACACAAAAAAAGAAGAAGAAAAGGAAGAAGAAGAAGAAGAAGAAGAAGAAGAAGAAGAGGAAGAGGAAGAGGAAGAGGAAGAGGAAGAGGAAGAGGAAGAGGAAGGGAGGAAGGAAGGAAGAAAGGAAGGTAGGAAGGAAGATGGATGGATGGATGGACAAAAGAAAGAGAGAAAGAATGCCAAATTGATCATCTATTTTATTCTGTTCCATTATTCCAATGATGAGACTCTGGCTACCACAGCATGCACCCAGTTTTGTTTGTTTGTTTTTAATTTCAACAAAGTACTAGGTTGACTGTCGCCTCCTGACAATGACCTAGGTTATGACTTTGAATGAGTTCGGGCTTCCATGAATATCTGCAGTTTCCTTACCTGTTCTTTTACTACATAAATTGAAGCAACACAACTTCAAGAAACTTCAGGAATTAAACAGGTTAATTTTACATGGTCATACTGTATAGAGGGAAAGGTCACCTCCATTTATGACTTTTCCAAAAAAATTTTTAATATTTCTTATTTATGTGTATATATGTGTGTTTATGTGGGGGTGTTTGCAAGTGCATGTAGGTACCTACAGAGGCCAGACAAGGGTTCTGGATCCCCCGGAGCAGGAGTTCCAGGCAGTTGTAAGTCACTTGATATGAATGCTAAAAACTGAACTCAAGTCCTCTGACAAAGCAACAAGTGCTCTTAGTCACTAAGCATCTCCCCAGCCCTCCTCCCCCCAAAAAAATATGCTTAATAGTTAAGTCTTCCAGGACTGGAGAGATGGCTGAGGTTAAGATCACTGACTGCTCTTCCAGAGGTCCTGAGTCCAATCCAGCAACCATATGGTGGCTCACAACCATCTATAATGAGATCTGGTGCCATCTTCTGGCCTGCAGGGATACATGCAAGCAGAACACTGTGCACCTAATAAATAAATCTTTAAAAACAAAATAGCTAAATCTCAAGCTCTCTCTTGAAGGACACAATGAACTAGGAACCTCCCCAATACTTCTGCAGAAGTTTTCTCCAGAAGTAGCAATGTGTAGCCTTCTAGGCACTTGAAGAAACAAAGTCACCAACTTCTACTTCCTGAGAGCCCACAGCAGGGCAGTGGTGGTAGTACTCGCCTTTAATCCCAGCACTCAAGAGGCAGAGGCAGGAGGATCTCTGTGAGTTTGAGGCCAGCATAATCTACAAGGCAAGTTCTAGGGCTACACAGAGAAACATTGTCTCAAACAAACAAACAAACAAACAAATAAATGAAGCTACATGAAGCTCCCACCTTTTGAAGAGCATGTGCTTTGATACTCGGACAATGACAATGCAATGCCAGGGTAGAACTTTCCCCAATAACAACTCCAGTGATGAGGCATCAGAAACTAACCACAGGTTTCCCAGGGAATTACCTGCTCTGTCTGTTTGATCCACACTTTCATACAACATTCTACTTTTTCCACAGTCTCAGGGTTACTAGCTAGAGCCAAGTAGTCCATGGGTTCCTTCAGGGATGTCAGTTCAAATACATCACATTTTTGAAGGCTTACCTAATTAAAATCAAGATTACAGTAATAAGATAATGTTTAGAAATATGCACTTTTTGGTCAATTTGTGTCTACATGGAGATAATCGGAATCTTCACGTCTTTCCGACCTTGGTCACTCGGAATACTTAATGACAGGGTGGTACCTAACAATAATGATAATAATAATTGTACCTACTCTTTGCTATGTCTTGAGTGCTACATAAGATCCTGAGGTCAATTTTTGGGGGGGGTGTTAGAGATAATGTATCATAAAATGGAGAAGTTAGTAAAATAATTAGAAATGGTCACCAAGTTCCAAGTCAACTGGAAGGGGATTAGGCTGGCAGGTGGAAGTGGGTAGTTCTCAGTCTATCACTGAATTCCATTTTGGAACTAATAAGAGAAAAAGATTCTCATGCCTTCACAGTTAACAAATTGGACTGCAAATGTTTGGGTGCAGTTTAGAGTGCAGAGACCCACAGATAAGTCTAATTTACTTGCAAGTATGCATGGCATTCCAAATCACAACACGATCCTCCCTGTCTCTAGGAATTCTTTCCATCTAATGAAAAGATTCCTTAAAGAGTTCCTGTGTGCATCTCGGAACTCAGTGCACAAACCCAGTTCAGCTTTACCCTCAATAAAGATACAATTCATATCTCAGCATTCCCAGAGCCAACCAAAGAGTCTTTGCTATTTGTCACTCATGAAACCTAAGCATGGGGTCACTGCATTAAACAGATCACCAAGGATTGCTCAAGAAAGATGGACATGGAAGCACCTCCCACTCCTAGGGTCTCCCACAGGGAACACAACCACACTGGAATTCCTCCTGAAGGCTGCTCACTGCTTTTCTTGGGCTTCATTATAAGCCCTGTCAGGCCTCATCTCTGGTCATCTCTGGTCCTGTCTTCCAAGCCCACTCTTGCCAAGTAGGATGGCTGTTCAGGCCTTCAGTTCCCAGCCAAGTTCTGCATCTGCATTTCTAGTAAGACTCAAAAATCTGATTCCACAACCCCAGAACCAGCTCATTCCCCACTTTTGCTACCATCTCACAGACCTCACAAACTTACTCAAGTAACACATACACCTAAGGCAGCCCCACCACCCCCCTGCTTTTTCTGGCACTGATCCAGCCTGGATGGAGCTTCTGGCACTCCTCCGTGGTCCCAAACAGTTTAGGGATTTGATCTAATGCCCTGTGGCTTCTCCCACTCACTCAGAGACAATTCCTCTGCTGAGTGGAGATCTGTCTTGTTCTTTTACTGTCTCTATCACACATAAAGAGGAGTCACATGAAAACCCTGCTGTGGGTAAGGACTTCCATCACTTTTGTTTGGTGTAATCTGCATTTTGTCTGGCCTGTAGCCTAGTTAATTGTGAACACAACTAAGATGTTGGCTGGAGTGAACCCCTACCCCTGTCTGGATAAAATTTGCTCAATGTCCCAATTTTACATCATTTGGTAAACATAGTTTCCACCTGCTCTCTACCCTCAATAACCTCCCCAGCTGCTCCCCGAACCCTTCACCTGTCTCCCTCCCTTCCCACACCCTCTCTTTCACACACACACACTCCAGATATACACGAGTGTATAGACACCAAACTCCCTTAAATCATCAAGGAAATGTGCTGCACAAGTCATATAAAAGGCAAATCTCACATTTGCTAGGCTTATTATTAAAAGCTCTTTTAGATATAGGCTAAACTACAAACCCAATCCCCTCCCTCCAGGTGTATTAATTCCTATTTTCTTCTTCCACCACATCTGGATTTTCTTCCCACTCCATCCTGCCCCTTCCCCTTCCTGCTTCACACACACATACACACACACACACACACACACACACACACACACACACACACACACACACACACCTATCTCACCCCCCCCTCTCTCTCTATGCTC